TTAGGTGTAATCATATACATACATTGTTGGCACAAAGTAATCATAAGTATGTATTTAAAATATATCTTAAATGTGTGTAGCCTTAAATACATAAATATCTGCATAACAATGGTTTTGTGGACCTGGCAACTTTCTACAAATACTTTAAGTACAAACTTGAATATTGACTTTAAATATTTACTAAATATTAAATCACTGAATATTTATTGAACAACTACTGTATAAGAGGAAAGATTTACTGAAGTTTTTAACCAGATCTCTATATATTTTATCCCATTCCTCTTTTGATCACAGATAATGTAGTCATTTAATTTTTAGTCATGAAACAAAAGTAGCTCTCTCCTAGTCACTAATGAATTACAGTTTCTTAATAGCAATCATCTGCTATCACTCTAAAATTGTTTTATTTGTTTATTATCTCTTCTCTTTAGAATGTAAGTAAGCTCTATGAGGGCAGAAAACTTACCTGTCTTTTTTTTTTTTTGTACCGGGGATTGAACTCAGGACCTTGAGCTTCTGAGACAGGTGGCAGCACCACTGAGCTAAATCTCCAGACTATTTGGATTTTTTTTTTTTTGGTCTAATTTATTAAAATCATTATTTATTTATTTAATTTATTTTTGGTACAAGCGATTGAACTCTGTGCCTTGAGCTTATGAGGCAGGTGGCGGCACCATTGAGCTAAACCCCCAGCCTGTCTAATTTATTATTGAATTGCTTAGTCCCAAAGCATACGATAGGTTTTGAATAAAATATTTAAATTAATTAACTTATATTGACTAAATGTGCATTATTGAAAAAGTAATTGTGATTATTACTTTTAATCTTCTTATTCTTTTACCAATACTGTCAATCTCTCTTTTTTGGTACTTTTATCTATATACTATGGAATTGGTAGCAAAAGAATTTGATAAACAACTATAAATAGTAGGGTGACTAGCAAGGAATCTAAATAATATATATACTGATCAACCTCTGATTAATTGAACTGTAAAATTATGCCATTACTCTTACCATTAACCTGGATTCTTTTGTATCAAATGAGTAAAAGATTTTTCTTTTTTGGTTAAGGTCTATTGTGTTATTTTTATGTCCACTTTGCCTGGCACTTAATAATTCCTTAGTAATATCTTTTTTTGGGGGGTGGGGCGGGGATCAAACTCGGGTCCTTGTGCTTATTATGAGGCAGGCAGAAGCACTACTGAGCTAAATCCGTGGCCATCATTTACTTATTATTAGGAACCTAACAATAGGCCCCTCATTGTGTTTGTACAGGACTTTATTCCCTAGAGTTGAACCCTGAACACGTCCAATCTCCTCTAATTCCTTACTTAGATTTGGGCCATCTTATTAACATCAGGGGGTTACTAGAAATATTATCACATTATAATCAGGTTCAGAGAATTGATTCTGTAACCTTCAGTGACAGACTCCATCTTTATTTTATTAAAATATATATAGACAGAGCGAGGATATCTGGTTTTTTTATTTGCACATTGACCATTTAGGATCTATCTCTGGCTCTTACACAAGTATTTAACACAGACTTTTTGAAAAGACTTCAAGTATTAAGAATCATTCTCTAAACCTTGTATTTTCTTAAGTTCTCTCCTAGTATTCAGATGACTTTCTCTTTTGTGAGGGACCAGGAATTTGGCTCAGTGGTTTCGCTGCCTGCCTCTCAAGCACAAAGGCACAAGTTCGATCCCCAGTACCCCCCAAAAAAAGAATAAGATACTCTCTCTTCTGTGTAAATCCTAGTTCTTGTCATTTATGCATTCTGGTTGCTTTCATTGCATGAACTTTTTCCTCATCTGACCCTGACCTCTAGGACAGAGCCTTTTAATGTACCTTTGTTTTCCTGTTTAAAGACCCTTACTTACCTTGGCAATGCCTCTTAATGTGTATATCCCTCTCCTGTCATTTATTGTTTATAAAATGCTTGTGTTTCATACTGAAGAATAGATCAAGGAGACGATGCTGTGAGCCCAGACACATGATCTACTTGTCACAAGCAGTAGTTACAAATGACCTGTGAGTTAAATTCTAGTGAGGGTGGTATTATTGAGATTTCACTTTCTGTCTTTTCATTTTATCCTACAGAAATGTGTTGTTTTTTGCTTTTGAAAGTACATCAGTTTGATCTCTCTGATAATTAACAATTTGAGTGTCAGAAATAACTGATACTCTTTGTAGGTAGTATTTGCTATAGCATACAGAATGAAAGAGAATTTTTAAAAAGCTGTTAGCTGGATATTTTTAAATGAGATAGATCATTCTCATAATTAAATACTTAAATTGTTTTTAAAGCAAGAATGATGGAAATGACAAAGGGCAATAGATAGAGGGAATGATTTAAGAATAGCTGTGGATATTTATTAAGGAAAGCCTTCTTCCTCCCATTGTGACTTCCCTTTGGTAAAAATGGTTAAACAAAGGCTAACAAATTGGGAAGGAAGCAGGAAATCCTAGTTAGTGACTGTCAGTTGAACATTTAAGAGAAATGAAAATACTTGTTTTAGATTTTAATGCTTTTTCTCCCCGTTTTTTTTCTTCCTTATTTTTTTTTTAACCAAAGAAACCATGATTTTTCATCCCTAAATCCTAGTTAATATGCCATTAAATACAAATTGGAAGCCATATATTATCATGTAATTGTGCAAAGCCAAGTTAAGGTTTGAATTTTGTGGTTTGAGGGACATCATTTTAGAATTTGCTTAATCATTTCCAATGCCAGTGTTGTCCCCTTCTCATCCAGGACCCTTTCCTTTCTCTAAATAAAAAGTAAAATGAAAATAGCCCCAAATAACAAAACCTAGATTTAAAAGTAAGCAATTCTGCCTGGTGCTTGTGTTGTATCTACTACCCTAGCCCTTGTTTACTTCCTGATTGAAAATATGTTAGAGGAGCTTTTTGAAATAAAATTTTTGTGATTATATTAAGAAGACAAGTTCTGGCACTGAGAATCAAAATTATGTCTAGCACAACAGGAATTTTTCTAGAGATGAATTGCTTTCCAAAAATGATCTGCGTTTTCAGCCATAATGGCCTTGGTCTTTATTTTTATTTGCTTTTATTTATTTGTATTTTTTGTACTATGTTGTGGTTCTAGAAAGCGCTAAAAAAAATCATTGTATATTTAAAACAAACAAACCAGAAAAGCCCCTTGCCCTGGGCTATGTGAAGAAAAATGAAGCTCTCGTTTCCCAGTACCCAATCATCAGCTTGAGTTGGCCTCTCCTAGGAACAGAATTTATTGAAGCAATTTATCCTGGCTAAATGTGATATAAATCTGTGTACACATATGTACATACAGAGTCTCTTCCATTACAGCAGTGCTGTAGCATCAGTTTCCTTCATAGTTAGAGCATGTTCCTATCACATTGAAAGATGACCAAGAAGTCCCTTATATTTTAAACACCGATTAGCTGTGGAATTACTGATTAGATAATCAGAAAAACTGGTTTCTAACTCCAGAGTTACTCCTAAGAGAGTAGGAGAGATATTATCCACCTGTCTTCTTCATTTTAAACATGATTTTCTGATTACTAGATTAATTGTAGAATGTTAACATTTTAGTTTGCAAGATTTTCTTTTTTTTCCCCTTTGGTACCAGGAATCAAACTTGGGTCCTTGTGCTTGCGAGGCAGGTGGTGGAACCACTGAGCTAAATCTTCGACCCATGTTAACATTTTAGTTTAAGGCAGACCTGCAATTGACCAGACATTTTGATTTATTTCTCAGATGAATTTGAAATTTGGTTAGAGTTCTGAATAAAATTGTTCTTTATCTTTCCTTGTTCACATTCTTTTGTATACATTTCTGTCATGGATGTTTTTTTGAAAATACTCTCAAGGAGTTCATTTTATTAAAAATTGTTTTTAATCCCTTTACCCATTTTTCTTTTTTACCCTTTAAAATACTATTTATCTTTTTAGGAATATTTTTACAGTGATTTGCATTTCTAATCCTTATTCCTCTCCCATTTCTATATTTATTCCTAGTTGGAAAATGAGAAAATTTCCCAGTACATTCAAATTAGGATTACTATTCTTTGATAAAGAATTTCTAGCAACATTTCAAGACTTTAACTTCAATAATTTAAAAAAAAATGTATAATTCTGTTAAATTCTTCAGAGAAATAGAAAGGATGGAAGGTGATGCCTTTTAGTGCCATTTCTTTTATCCCCTGCAGCAGCACACATCTGTTGGCTGCAAGAGAGCAGCCCAAGAGCTCTGGCCGAGAGCAGCACAAACAGCCGGAACATATTCACCCAGTAAACCCCCAAAGAGTCGACATTTGTTTTATTGCTGCTTTTAAAAACCTAGCCATAAATAGAATCAGAGGGGGGAAGGGCACCGATATTTCTCCATTTGCCACAGAGACGATTTGTTGGGGGGGGCTCCCAATGGGGAGAGAAGGTTTTTATTTTTATTTTTTTATTAATGAAAATCATTTCCCATGTAGCCCAATAGGATGGGTGCTTTGTTTTCTTTGGCAATAATCTGGGATAAACGACCCTTGCCAACAGTCTCGTAGTTTATACACTAGGGAGCCAGATTATGGCCCTGTAAAATGGAGCACCCCTCCTATAATCCCTTAATTAATTAAATGACAAATTTTGGTGTTCTCTGCTTTAGAAATATGGCTTCCGTATCACACATTCAGTGGATTTATTGACATAGGGAACTGCAGTGGTTGTAATTCAACCAGTGAAATGTGTTATATACTGTAACAGAAAGAGGAAAAATCTAGCAAAGATTTCAAATTCCTTGACTGTTTAAGTCTAATTTTTTTCTAATTAAAAGTTTAAATTGAGGAATAGCAGGTCATATGCCACCTGTCTAATGAGTCTCCCCAAAGTAGCCTGTGTTTATAGCTTTGATAGATGGCATTCTTGGAACACCTGTTTCTAGGCTTGATATTTTTGAAGCACATTTTTTTTTTTTTTTGCTCCAGCGTATTTAACATAACTTTTCCCTTACCTCCCCCTCCTCAGCTCCGCTCTGCTATATGAAATATGGGAGATGACAGACCGTTTGTGTGCAATGCCCCGGGCTGTGGACAGGTACGTTTACAATATACTTTATTGTGAATGTCTCGTTGTGAATCAAAGTGGCTGTTTTATCACTAAGGCAAAGAGTTTAAAGCCGGTATTTTACGTGATCACTGGAGGTAATCAGATCAGAGGATTTGCAGTGTGTAAATCCAAGTTATGAGGAAGTGTAGGCACTCTACCATAATGAAATCTGCCTTGCTTTCTTCCATATTGTTATTCTACCAGTGTTTGTTTTCCAGCACAGTGTTGAAGAATACATGTTGCTCTCTCCCCTTCCTAAAGCTATCCATCTAAATACAAAGCAAGTTTATAAATATCTTCTCTTCAACCTTCATGGATATAAAAGTCTGCTTAACATATTTGGAGAGGCAGCTGATAATGTACCCATTTATTGTGGACCCCTAGCTTTATAGTCTATTTCAATTTTTTAAATTAAAATAAAATGTTTCTTTTGATTGTTGGTTCAGAAAATTATTGTTAACAGCTAAGGGCGATATCTATAAATCCAGCATAGAACTTGAGATCTCATATCAGCACATAAACATTTTCCCCTGTCTGATGCTGTGAAATGCACCATTTTCTGTGTTACCTGCCACATAATTGTTTGCATATATGTATATATGTCAGTTTTTTCAATTTATGCTCTTAATTAAATAATTTTGTTAAAATTGCCCTTTTTTTGTATTTTACTAGTTCTTTTTCCTAGACCTTCTCCAAATGCCATGATCCTCAAAGAATGAAAAAAGAAATACAAAAAAGTTTTATATGTCTTCATTAAATCATTTTATAACCTGAAGGGTAACTTTCTGTTCAGTTAGAAATATGTCATGTGACTGTCCAGTGACACTTACTGGTGGTGTGTGAGATTGCAGACTAGTTCTATTAAGCATTGTAAATACTTAAACAAAATGAAGAGTAAGTTCTAGAGAATCTGAAGAATTGGGGTTTGAGAGGTAGATGAGATGAGGATGGTGACAAGGAATGGACAGAAGAAAGATTTCAAATTTTAATAAATGGTAAATATTTTAGATAAGACACTAAAATAGCCATTGCATTCTGTAGTATTCAGCATCCTATGGGGTATCTCCTTCCTTCCTTTTTTGGTTTTGTTTTGTTTTTTGAGATAGGGTCTCACTATGTAGTTCAAACTGGCCTTGAACTCACTTTGTAGCATAATCTGGCATTGAACTCAGTGATCCTCCTGCTTCAGCCTCCCAAGTGATGGGATTACAGGTGTGCACTGCCACTATGCCTCACCGTGTCAAAGTTTTAAACTTTATTTTTAACTGTGTGTTTTCCCCTCCTCCCCTCTCCTTTTCTCCCCCCCCCCATTTCTTTTCTTTTCTTTTCTTTTCTTTCTAATAGGGGTCAGTTGGGAATATAGTGTAAATTCCTTTCACTTTTCAAACAATTTTATTAAGATATGCTTCTAAACATCATCTCTCCAGATTTTTGTGTGTGAATTTGTTGTTGTTCAACGTGACTCCCACAACTGATACCTGGTACCCTTCACTTATCTACTTGAAAAATCTTTATTTTTCAGTTGAATATTTTTCTCATACTTACTATTATATTTCATTTATTATTCAAGCTACTCAACCTCTGTACCTCTTTTATATGTTGTATGCTTAAACCACCTAGACGTAAGGACTTCTCAAAGATAATAAAAAGGTTGATGAAAATGAGAGATACAGCCAGGCATGGTGGCGGCATGCCTGTAATCCCAGCACTGGGAGGCTAAGGCAGGAGGATCGCTGTGAGTTCTAAACCAGCCTGGGCTACATAGTGAGTTCCAGATGAGTCTCAACTACATAGTGAGACCCTGTCTCAAAAAACAAACAAACAAAAAAAGAGAATTACAGAAGTAAAGCATCTTTTAAACTCTCTGAGAATTAAATAGCATCTCTTTAGGCTGTGTTGTCAGAAAAGAGTAGTAATCACTGAAATTTGTGAGATACAAGTTTATGGAATTTGTGTTTGTTTTTTTCTGTGTTTCCCTCTCCGCCCCCCCCCTTTGTGGTACCTGGGCTCAAACTCAGGACCTTGTGCTTTTCAGGCAGGTGTGGCGCTCTAGAGCTAAATCCCCAGCCCTTTTTGCCTTTTTTAAAATGCCCCCCCACAAGTAGAGGTAAGAAAATGATAGGGATGTTTTACTTTGGTTCCTCCTTGTATTGTTGGGTTTTGTTTACCAGAAGCCTCTTCCTTCTTTTTTTCCTCTCATTTCTGAATTATGTGTTGGTATTTTAGTTAAGATTCATTATAACCTCTGGCTTAGGTTCTGAAAGCACCCCCCCTAAGGTGAGTATGGAACTTAAGGAAATTAGTGATTTCTTTGGATTCAAGTTACTTGTTTCATAGGAAAAAGGATTTAAAAAAAACTTATAATTTAAGACTTTGAAGAAAGCATGATTCATCCCCTTACCTCCTTTTTGTGTCCAAACTGTGTTCAGGTCAGATTATAGTTCTGAAGTTATATTTAGTCTCCTACCAAATTTCTTCCAATATCTGGTAACAAACAGCTCTAGAGCAGGGTTTCAAAAGATGTACTGTGTTTTTACTTTATGTTAAATGAAATAGTGAAAATCTGACAGGGAAGATAAATTTGGTAAAGTTAACTGCCCTCTTGGCCTGTCTTCCAACTTCCTCATATCTCTTGAGAATGGTTTCATTCTGAAGCCACTTTAAGGCCTTAAAGTTATTTGTAGTCCACTTAGCATTGTCTCAAATTACTTACTCCGGGAATACTAAAAGAGGCTATGTGTAAGTCCCAGTGTGGGTAATAAAGACCATGAAAATTTTTGAAAGACATGGTTTAGAATCTTCTATTAGAGAATTCTCAAAAAGCATTGGTTTCCACCAGGTAGAAAAGGAATAAAAGCAAATGGTTCTTGTAAAGCAAGCAAGCAAGCAAGCAAAACTATAGGAATCTTGCGTTATTTCTCTGCTCCCTGTTCAGACTTTACCCTATGTATCGCTAAATCATAAATCGTCCTATGCTTTAATATTAAGGGAAGGTGAAATTACAATTCACCTAAAATGGACTAGTGGATTATGCTCTGCACTATATAATCAAAACTACCAGGCTTTCAATGGATACATAAACATGTTTTGGTTGCTAGGTCTTTAATGGCTGTTATTTTTGGATGCTGTTCATGATCCACTTCCCAACAGTAAGTCTGATGTGACACAGCTGAGTTCTAAATATGCTGCATGTAATTTTTTTTTTAAGATGGCTGCTGTGAAGGATGTGTTGTCTGCATTCTTTACTGAAAAGACAGGTGAAAGGGTTTCTTAGCTTTCTTATTTCTATTCCCCTGTTGAGATTCTTTGTTTCTCTTGAGGCCTCATCACCCTCGTGAAGAGGAACTTGGAAAAGCATTTTTTTCTGCTAAAAACTCTATGGAATGTGGTAGCAGGAGTTGTTAATAGAGTGGCCTCCTGAGAATAGGTTAGTGTTGTTAAGGCAATAGTGCCCCAGATACCCTGTTGGCAGAGGACTGATGACATCGTGTTGTATGGTTTTTGAAATGTTTCTAAAATAGCATCTTTTTAAAAACATTGTGACTATAAAGTGGCTTTACATCTGTGTCATCATTAAAATAATAGAAATATATTTTTATTTTGAATCTGGGAAGTCTTCTAAGTTGCTTATTTGTTTGTTTCTGGAAGTCCTCACTATGTTGCCCAAACTGTTCTTGAACTCCTGGGCTCATGTGATCCTCCTGCCTCAGCTTTTTGAGTGACTGGGACTATAGGCATGCATCAACATCTTGCTTAGTCTTTTAAGTTTTTAACACTTTGGAGGCTACTTTTATTTGAAGACGGATTACAAAGCTGTTTTATTACATGTGGAATCAGGTATGAATACTCTGTCAGTATCTTGAATTTGAGATTTTATTTCATGTGTATGCAGTTAGATAACTTACCTTTTTGGGGGTTTTGCCTACTTTTTATTACCAGGAGACAGCACATTTCATACTCCTATATTCCTTCTCAAATATGACACTAGTTTGCAGTACAAATTATGCAAATTTAAATAGACCTTCTGGATACCATCAAGTCTTTGAGCAGAAGCTGGTCATTTCAGTTTATTACATAGAATGTCTATTTCCTAAAGAACAGGAACACATTTGCGCTGATGAGATACCATTTATGGATGGTTAGCATAATCCTGTTGTCAGCCATTGAGAAAAGTTTCCACTCTATATCAGCTCTGTCTTTTTAATGGAAAAAACTTTGTTTTTTTTTTTTTTGGTCTGTCATAACCTGAAGGGGCTGAAGATGCTACTCTCAGATCTCCCATAGGACATCTAGATACAGGTTGAAAGTCTCTTCATATCTTTCTGAGACTTGAAGCCTATAAACTAACATGGACCTACAAGGCCTGCTTTTATTTTCAAAAGCCAAGAATAAAATGGAGCCCTAGTTGTGGTGGCAGCTTCTTGTACCTCCTTATCTTGTCGTAGTAGGAAAAATGTTTATGGTGCCATAGTCCTGGCTTCACTTGGCATTTAACCAACCTCCAAAGCTGTTTATTGCTTTCTATCCTCTGCTTCTGTGAACATTATCTCTTAAATCTCTATTGCTTTGTAATATATGAGGCAACAAATAGCTCCTATGATTGGTTAAATGCTGGCATGATGCAAAGGTATATGTTTTATTGCCCATATAACACAAATCTATAGAGATTATTCTGTTATCCCAGGCCTCCCATTAAAAGCACCATACTGGTACAATGGGATTCAGGATCTTTCATTCTATTCCTTTGGCAAGTTTCCCTATTTCTTGGCATTAGCACAAAAGAAAAGCAAGGAAGGAGTTGGTGCTGATTACTAATTCTTTATGTTAAGGGAGCGTCTTGAATTGGAAAATAACAAGGCAAGAAATGGCTCTAGTAAATCCCATTTCTGGTGGTATATGTTGTGTTTACATGCTACGACAGGTGAAGGCAATTTCAGGCAAACAAATAAGCGTTTCTTCCTCACCCTCTGCCAAGAGTTTAAAAAAAT